CTGTTCCTATAATTCACTGTCTTTCTCTCTCAAAAGCATTGTGGACATGCCGTGGCAGGTGGCGGACCTCCAAAGCTCCTGAGCTTGATATTACTAGAGATACAGAAAGAATTGTTAGGCTATAAAGGACCTGGAATAAGTGTTCTTGAAATGAACCACAGAAAGACAGTCCCTGACCACTGAAATTGTAGATCCAACAGATAATCTGGTATAATAATTACATATAATATATATTATATATATATATACATATTCCTGACAACTACAAGGTGAGTTTTTTTGTTTTGTTTTTTCCATTTTTGTGTGTGTGCCCAAGAAGGTGGATCTGGCCAGTAGAGCTCTGTACCCTTAAACTTGACAGGCCTAAAAGAAGGAAGGTGTATCCATTACATAGGAGCAGGAGTCTGGTCAGTGAAAGGAACTGAAGAGGCCAAAAAGTTTGCTATAGTTAATATTCACCTGAAATGAGCATTATATGAAAGTTCATAGTCTAAGAATATGAAATTCAATTTGGATGCATTTTATGTGTATTGCTACACAAATGAAACAGTCCATGGTGCCCAGTTTAATTTTCATAACTAATATCAAGGGAACAGAATTTGTCTGTGACATGTCCTGAAACTTTTCATCTGAGTCACTACATGTTTATAAGTTTGGAGTTAGTTTTGCAGATACTCAAAAGAATGTTAGCTCTGCTGCGGTCTTTGTGAAACTAGTATATGAGAACTTGTTGGAATTTGAACTCAAAAACTGCTCATACGTATTATACTATAATGTTCAAGTTGGGAACAGCTCCTTATACAACCCTCTTCAGCATCATAGCTTGAGTAGTGGAATAGATTTATTTTTAATGGAGGTGCTATAGGTATGGAAGAGCTTAGCATAATCAAATCTCAAATGTCATTGATAAAACCCAAGGACTCTCTGTATGCCCATGGAGAAAGAGAAGTAAAATGAGCGTCCCTTTCCATGTTGGTGGTGCAGTTTAGAAAAGAAGTTTCTTGACAAAGTTCTTCACCTTAACATGATCTTCTTGAAAAGGCACAGGTCTCTTGGAGGGATCTGTGCTTCTCTGTATATGAGTCACAACAGAGGATGTTCAGAAGCTAGCCACATTCATGAAGAATTTTATGAAAATACATCAGCTGTGAATCCTTTGGTACAAGAAAGGATGCCTACTCTCCCCACTGTTATATAGTTCTGGAAATTCTAGCAACAGCAAAAGCAAGAGAAAGGGTTAAAAAAAATAAAGATAGGTAAGGAGAAGATAAAAGTAACCTTGTTCACTGATGATATTATGGTTTACTTGGTAAATCTCAGGGAATCAGCAAAAATACTAATTTAGACAATTAATAGCTTCAGCAAACTTGCAGGTTACAAAATAAATCCTCAAAAATCAACAGCCTTTCCATATAATAATAACAAAACACAAGAGGCAATAATAGAAAGGAAAAATCCCATTCTAAATAACTTAAAAATGCACAAAATATCTAAGGAATAACTTCCCAAAGCACACAAAAGATTTGTATAGATTCAATTACAAAGCACTCCCTAAAGAATTAAAGAACAACCTAAATAGCTAAGAATTAAGTGCCTGTGTCTAGGCCATACCAATGTAATAAAAATAACAATACTATCAAAATTAATTTATCCTTTTAATGCTTTACCAGTTAAATTATCAAGAGGCTATTTTTCAGAGCTTGGTAAAATAATTTTTAAAAATTATTTGGAAAAACAAATGATTTAGAATATCAAGGAATGATGAAAAGAAATACAAACAAAGGGGGAATAGCCCTTCCAGAGCTCAAATTATGTTATGAAGCAGCAGTCATCAAAACCATTTGGTATTGACTAAAGATAGAGAGATAGATCATTGGAACAGACTAAATAAGGCGGATTCAGAAAGAATAGAATTCAATAACACAGTGTTTGATAAAGTGGAAAACATAAGTTACCTATAGAAAAACTTCCTATTTGGTAAAAACTGCTGGGAAAACTGGAAAACACTCTGGCAGAAATTAGGCTTAGACCAACAGCTCATACCACACTCCATAACACATTTTAAATGGATACATGACCTTAATATAAAAGACCATACTATAAAAAAAATTAGAAGACAAACAGATCATGTAACTCTTATAGCTATGGATAAAAGATGCATTCTTAATCAAACAAGAGATAGAAGTAATATAAAAGATAAAATAAATAGCTTTGATTACTTGAAAGTGAAAAGCCTCTGCATAGAAAACATTACTGCATCTAGGATAAGAAGAGAATTAGTTGAATGTGAAAAAAAACTTCATATCAAATTTCTCTGATAAGGGTCTGGTATGCAAGATATATAAGCAATTAATATGTATGTATGTAGGGAGCTGGGTGGCACAGTGGATAGAATGCCAGGCCTGGAGTTAGGAAGACTTGTATTGATGAGTTCAGATATGGCCTCAGATACTTACTAAGTTAAGTCCCTCATTACTCTGTTCTGGGGCCTCTTCTCTTCTCTCTCTCTACTAGTTTGATTGATGATCTCATCATCTCCTATGGATTTAACTAACATCTCTATGCTGATGACTCTGAAATCTACCTTTCCTGCCCCAATCTCTCTGCTGACCTCTAACCTCATATCTCCAATTGCCTTTCAGACATCTCAAACTGGATTTCCAATAGATATCTTAAACTCAACATGTCCAAAACACAATTCATTAGCTTTCCCCCAACCCCTACCTGTTGCTACCCCTTCCCTATTGCTGTTGAAGGCAATACCATCCTCAGTCCCTTAGGCTTGTAACCTAGAAGTCATCCTGGATTCCTCTCACCCGACACATCCAATCTGTTGCCAAAGTCTGTCGATTTTACAGTTGCACCATCTCTCAAAAACACATCCTTCTCTTCTCTGACACTGCCCACTCTGGTGCAGGCCCTCATCATTTCATGCTCGGATTACTGAAATAGCCTGTTGTTAGGTCTGCCTGCCTCAAATTTCTCATCGTTCTGATCCATATTCCATTCAGATACCAAAGTGTATTTCCTAACACAGGTCTGCTCATGTCACCACCTTACTCAATAAACTCCAGTGGTTTCCTATTCCCTCCAAGAGCAAAAACAAAATGTTCTGTTTGGCATTTAAACGAAATGTAACCTTTGTAACCTAGCCCCCTCTTACCATTCCCATCTTCTCATACCTTGCTCCCTGACACATATTCTTTGATCCAGGGACACTGGCCTCCCGGCCATTCTACAAACAAGACATTTTATCTCTCAGCTCTGAGCAGTCCCTCTGACCGCCCCTCCTGCCTGAAATGGTCTCCCTCCTGCACTCCAACTCCTAACCTCACTGGCTTCCTTTAAATCCCAACTAAAACCCATCTTCTATAGAAAGCCTTCCCCAACTCCTTTTACTTCCAGTGCTTTCCTTAATTATTTCTTAATTATCCTGTATATAGCTTGCCTTGTGTATATTTTTTTGCATGTGGTCTCCCCCGTTGTATTGCAAACTCCTTGAAGGCAGCGATTGTCTTTTGCCTCTTTTTGTATTCCCAGTGCTTAGCACAATGAGTAGCACATAGCAAGTGCTCAATAAATGTTGCTTGATTGATTCTGAGGGACCTATGATCCTTAGGTTGTCCCTATACATTCTGTATTTGAAATTTGTTTGTTTTGCTTCCAGAGTATGCATATTTTCTTTTAATGTTCTTATTTTTCACTTCTCTTCCTTTAGACTGCCTTTCACTTCTGTGTGCTAGGCCATTGCCAGTCATCCTGACGTTAAGTCTTGCCACTGGGCTCTAAGGACTCTGGAGGAGAGAGTGAAGCTAATGACTTTGCACAGCCCTGGCTCACTTAAATCCAATTCACCTGCAAGTCAAGACATTGTCCTCCTAATGTCCTCAGTTGCCTTCATGAATGAAGGATGAACAACAACAACAAAACAGCCCTCTCATGTTAAATGAGGAAACTGAAGCCCAGAGACAGAGCTCTAACAAGGAATTTTTACACTTAGCTGAATAACTGAAACGTGCCTTCTTTGGGAGTGGGCAGGGGTAGAAGAGGTGAGGTGGGGCATATGTGTATGTTTTGATACCCCACCCTGTGCCATGGAGACAGAAACTTGGTCTTGGGACTGTATGAGAAACTCTAGTAATTTCCTATTTTAAGGACTAATTCTTGCTAACTAGGTGTCATTTCTAAGATGCAAGTGTGGTGCAGAGGTGAATTTGGAGTCACATGGCCTAAATCTTAAGTCTAGTTCTGTTAGTTATCAACCGTGTGACCTTGGAAAATCAGTAAACATCGCTAGGCCTCAGTTCCATCATCTGTTAAATAAGGTTTGGACTGAGTGACTTTTCCAAGTCTAGATCTTAGATATTGGCAACCTTCAAAGTCAGGTTTTGGGGCAAATATCTGGCAGGGTCAGGTATCAAACCACGTCCTTCTGCCTTCCCAAGACTCTGGCCAGGTAGGTACGTTGCAAAGAGTGGATGCACGGAACGTGACCCTGTCCCTTTCACAGGAAGGTTTCCCCGCCCCAGACCTTTTTTCTAAACATCTGTAAGTCATTACAAGAACAAAAGGTCTGTGGGTGGGAAAGCTGGGGTGAGACCCCAGTAGTGAAAGCCGAGAGCATTTTCTGGGATAAATGTTGGCCAGCGCAACGTCCCTGTTGGCCCGAAGCACCCACAGCGAGAACCGCTCCCACTCAGCAGCTCCGCCCAATGCAGAGAACAATGCAATTTGAGGACAGGCTCCTGAGGTTTTCTCCGCAGCGGACTGATGGGGCGAGGCAGGGAGGGGCGGCTGCTCCGTTGATGAGCGAGGCTTTCTGGGAAATGTAGTGCCTCGCTCTTCTCCTCTCCCGGCTGAGCTGTTAGCTCTCCGCGTTGGAGAGGTGAGGGCGCTCGCTGCTCGAGACTACAAATCCTACCACGCACCGCGCTCCCGGCTGTGGGGGGCGTGGCGGCGGGGGGGCGGGGATTGGAAACACGGCTGTTGCGGAACGAGTAGCAGAGGAGGGCGGACATGGCTGCCGGTTGTGTAGGCGACGGCGGCGGCTCCTCCAGCGGTGGGGGCGGGTTCAAGTTCCCGGAATACGAGATCCCGGAGCTGAACACGAAGCCCTTTCTCGTGCAGGCCGTGGGGAACCTGTGGAAGGAGAGGCTTCTCGGGGTCCGTGACTTCTCCTTGGAGCCTCCCGCGCCCAGCAGCCCGGACGGGGTCGGAGCCGGCGAGGAAGATGCGGCCGTGGCCGAGGACTTGGGCTGCAGCCTGGAGACCGCGGCCGAGCTGAGCCTCGTGTGTGGGTGAGTGCTCGGGCCCCCTGCCCCGGCTGCTGGGCCGGGGGGCGGGGAGGAGGGTCCCGTTCTGGACCCGTGCTCTGCCCAGACCTCATCCCCACCCCCCCCCTTTGGGCCACTCCTCCGCGGCGTGTAAATGAAATAGACCTTTGAGGAGTGGGGGGGGGGGGGGGAGTAAGTAGACATGGGGAAGGAAAGGAGGGGGGTTACTCCAAGGGGACACAGGGGACTTATCATCCCTTTGTTACTTGGAAAGGTGCATATCTTAAAAGAGTAGCAAAAGCTGATAAGGGAAACCCTTGGGGAGGAGGAGTTGGTGGGTAATGGAAAGACCATTGGAATTGGAATCAAACCAGTCAGCCTGTATTTAGTTTAAGCCTGCTGTGTGCCAGGCACTTGTGCTCAGCGCTGGGGTTGCAAAAAGAGGCAGAAGACAGTTCCTGCCCTCAAAGATCTTACAGTTTAATGGGAGAGACAAATCAGTGGACCTGGGTTTAGATCTCATTTACTGGGTGACCCTGGGCAAGTCTTTTCACTTCTCTGGACCTTAGTTGCCTCTCTTAAAATAAAAAGTCGGATTTAAGTTCCCTTCTGGCCATGATTACCTCATCTATGTGAATCCAACAGTCTGTGACATTGTATCACAGATACCAGTTTTGAGAGTTTCTTTATGGTTGAAGCACTGCTTAGTATTTTCTTACTGATGATATCTTTGGTCAGTTTCCCTGACACGCCCCCAAGGGGGGAAAAAAAAACATTTCTGAGAAAGAAAAAGACTTGTTGATCTCATTTTGCCCCTAACAGTATTAGAAGAATAAAAATAGTCATGTTCTCATGTTCAAATCTGGCCACTTAGCAGCGGTGTGACCTTGGGCATGTCACTTAACCTATGTTTGCCTCAGTGTCTTCATCTGTGAAATGGAGATGATAATAGTGCCTATTTCCCAGGATTGTGGTGAGGATCAGATGAGATAACGGTAGTGAAGTACTTAGCACAGTTCCTGACATACAGTAAGTGTATATATGTTAGTTATCATCATCATTGTTAGCTATTATTTAATCAATGAAGATTTGTTGAATGAATAGAATTTTAAAGCTACCAATTATATCTAGTGGTCATTTCAGAGTAACTGTACCAAAAATATTTCATTGAATGCAGTTTTCATTTGTGATATCACAATTTTTTACCTTACTTATTAATTGTTCAGGACATTGTCACCCTAATAGACAAGGATGGTTATCCCATAGGTAAAAAATATCTAAGTTATTGCATTTCTATCTTTAGCCTGGATAAGTTGAAGTACTGTGAAGAGGAGGATGATCCAGAAGTCATTCCTGAAGACACCAACCTAGTGACTTTGGGGTATGGTAGACTTTGATTTTAAAAAGTTCATTTTCCACGTAGTAAAGATACTTACTACACACAATACTGTTATACCTTTTTAGTATAAGGTAGATTCCATTTAAGAAATATAATTTCTTTCAAAATATTTGTATGATGAGTTTTCTAAGCATAAGCCTCTTATTTACTTGTTCCAGACTATTTCTATTAATGATACAGATACCACCTGGGCTAAAAAAAAAAAAATCAGCCATGACTTCTCCAGACCCTTGAGACCCATATCCAATCGGTATTTATCTCACATCTTTCTTTCCTTTCCTACTGCCAGCATCCTAATTCAACCCTTATTGTTGTGCCAAAGAGAAAGAGAGATCTCTTTGTTACTTTGGAAAGTTTATTTCAGTAAAGAAAATCAAACGCTCATAGAAAAAGATGTCTGTCGGAATGAAAATTTTGAATTTTCAGCAAGTTCACCAAGTAGTTTTATGTTTCTGCTCTCCCCCCATCTCATTCATATTGCATGGTGCTGTCAGATTAATTTTTACAGTGTTACTTCCATCTTGTCACTTCCCTATTCAAAAACCTTCCAGGGGTTCCCATTACCTCAAGGATAAAATCCAGATACCTTAGTCTGATGGTATTCAAGACCGTCCATATTCTGGCCCCAATTTCCCTTTCTAGGTTTATTTACCACTATTCCTCCCTACATTAGTGTGCTCTTATATTGCCACCTCTTCTTTGCTTACACTTTATCTCTTGGAACATACTCCTGCCTCTGTCATCCAAACTACTCCCTCTCTTATCCAAACTACTCATTTGTAAGGCCCTGCAGTATAATCTCCTTTACACCTTCCCAGCTCACGATGACCTTTCCCTCACCCGAAGCGTTCTTATAGTTTGCTGTCTGGAATTATACTCTGTTTCTTATCATCATTTAACTCTTAAGATTGCTAGCTCCTTAAGGAAGATTTTCTGTCACACCTCTTTGTATCTTTCCTACCCTGCCTCACACTCTAAATATAGTACCCTGTAGTAGTAGGGTGTTGTTTGATTAATTAGTTGGACCTTTGGAATTCGTAGGAAAAGTATTTGACCTAATACACTGAAGACTGGCAAGGAAATGAAGATGAATTAAACCTAATGATTATGAAATTGTCACTAAAAGGTTGCTTAATGCCTTGCTATTTTTGCTCTTCCTATGGCAGTTTGTCCATATTAGACCTCCCTGACGTTCCCTCCCCCTCTCCATTCTGTGGGTCTGCCTGGGTAAAATTGTGCCTTTAATAAATTGTAATGAAGTAAGTTTTATGAGAAGAGTTAGTGCCATATTTCTTTTTCCCACACTGGGTCTTGGAAGAATTCCTTGCTGCTGCCAAAAGAGCTGCCATAAATACATTTGTATATATGGGTCCTTTTCCTTTTTCTTTGAACTCGGGGAAATAAACCTCATGGAGGTATAGCTGGATCAAAGGTTATGCACAATTTAATTATTTTTGGGTCATAGTTCCCAGGATTGTTGTACTAGTTCATGGCTTCACCAGCAGTACATTAAAATACCTGTTTAACCTCCAGTTCCTTCAGCATTTGTCATTTTCCTTTTTTGTCAACTTAGCCAATCTAATAGGAGTGCATTGCTCTCAGAGTTGTTTTAATTTGCATTTATTAGCGCAGTTATTAGAGCATTTTTTCACATAGATATTGATACCTTGTATTTCCTGTTCTGAAAACTGCTTGTTCATATCCTTTAAGCATTTATCAGTTGGGGAATGATTCTTATCCTTGTAAGTTTGACTTGGTTCCTTAGATATCTTAGAAATGAGATTTTTCCAGAGAAACTTGCTACAAAGATTTCCACCCGCCCCCTCCTGCTTTTTACCTAATTTTAACTGCATTGGAAAAACTTTTTAATTTTATGTAATCAAAATTGTCCATTTTACCTCCTGTGAAGCTCCCTATCTCTTGTTCAGTCATGAACACCTTTCCATAAATCTGACGGGTAATTTCCGTGTTTCTTTGATTTGTTTATATTACCCTTTATGTCTAAATCATGTATCCATTTGGAGCTCATCTTGGTATATGATGTGAGATGTTGGCCTCTACCTAGTTTCTTACAGTTTTCCAACAGTTTTTATCACCTAGTAAGTTCTTGCCCCAATAACTAGGATCTTTGGGTCTATCAAATGCTAGGTTCCTGAGTTCATTTGGTTCTGTATCTTGTGTACCTAACATGTTCCACTTATCAACCTCTCTGTTTCACCCAATACCAAATTGTTTTGGTTTCAGCTTTGTAGTATAGTTTGAGATCTGGTGCTGCTAAGATCTTCTTCTTTCTCCCTTTTTTCATTAATTTCCTTAATATTCTTGACATTTTGTTTTTCAGATGAATTTTATTATTTTTTCTAGCTCTATTAAAATGATCTTGTAGTAGTTTGATATGGCAATGAGTAGTAGTGTTTTTGTGTTTTTTTTTGTTATATTTACAAAATGTTTTCCCATTTAAGTGTTTAACACAGTCATCTTCATTGAATATACTGGAAAGAATTAAGTAAAATTTCCAATTTTCAATGAGATCAACAAATTCTCAACATAGGCATTAAAGCACTTATTTGTAGAAAATCTTCATGTTGTTTTACATATAATTTTTAAATCATAGACATCATTGATATTTTAGTGATGAACTTTTTAAAGTTTTATTTTTCCAAAACTCCAATAGACTTAGAAAGAGGGCCTTGGAGCATCGAGAAGAAACCATAACAGTAGATCGTATCTGCAGACAAGAAACCTTTGCCTATGAGATGGTAAGATTCCTTCTTTTTCTCTCGCTGCTCATGAAATAATTTCCTCTTGCTTAGTGGCTGAGCATTGATGAAGCCTTTTTATTGTATATGCTTAACTCACAATTCCCAGGCAGTTTTTTAGAATGTATAGAATGCAGTATGGGGAGGAGGAGGAGGAAAAATTACATATAATCCTAGTGACTGATGCCCTTATCCTGCTCAGGCTTTGCTTTTGGCCCTGCTCCTAGTGCTTTCCCCTTTCCTTGGTTCTGTTCTTAGTACTGACTTTGTATCTGTTTCTAACCCTGTTGCTGGTTCTTTTTCTGTTTCCCACATGAACCTGGTCTTGTATTCCTGCCTCGTCTCTCAGGAGGGATGTCCCTCCTCTTTCTATAAGAAAAGTAGGAATTTTTAGACAGATAAAAGATGAGATTTTATAGCATCATGGAAATTTATAGGGTCATCTACTTTCTCTTCTATCCTCTTTAAACCTTTTGTTTTATCAATAAATCAGAATTTTTAAAGTAATGTATTTAATCATGGCCATCATCAGTCATGAAATACAAAACAGCTTTTTGCATTCTAGAAGCTTATTTAGACATTGTTCATTTTTTCCTTTCTTCCCCATCAGGAGTCACATGCCATAGGAAAGAAGCCATCAAATCCAGCAGACTTAGTTAATGAAGGAGAACTTATCTTATCTCTGAATATCTTCTATCCTGTTATATTTAGTAAGGTCAGTTCTGAAACCTAATAAAATTTCTTAACTGTGTTGTCATGATTGGCTTCCTATAATAACCAACCGGGGCGGAGGCAAGATGGCGGAGTGAAAGCAGTGGCTTGCTTGAGCTCTCCCCCAAACCCCTCCAAATATAATAACCAACCAACAAACATGAAACAGCTGCTGTGTGCCAGCTACTGTGCAAGGTACTGGGAATGCAAAGGCATAAAGAAAGAAAGAAAGAAGGAAGGAAGGAAGGAAATAATCCTTGGTTTCAAGGAGCTTCCATTCTGTTAGGGGAGATAACATGTCTATGCATACACATGTGTATGTGTATGTATAAGCATATACAGAATAAAGAACAGGGTAATTAGGGGAAGGAGGATGCTATCATTTGAGGGGATCAAAAAGGCTTCATGTAGATGATATTGCTTGAACTGAGTCTTGAAGGAAGTAGAGGATTCTTTGTAGTGGAGGGCAAAGGGGGACGGTGTACCTTCCAGGACAGAGTGGGGTGGGAGAAGGCGCAACAATATGAAGGCATGGGAATGGAATAGGGAGTGTTGTGTGTGAGGTACAGAGAGAAAGTCAGCTTGGCTGGTGGCAAAGTGTGGGAAGAGGGAGAAATGTATAATGAGGCTGGAAAAGTAAGATGAGACCAAGAATTTTAAAGACAGCTTAAAAAACTGAAAGAAGGATTTATATTTTATTCTAGAGGTAACAGGGAATTACTGGAGTTTATTGAGTAGGAGATTGATATGGTCAGATCTGTTCTTGAGGAAAATAATTTTAACAGTTGTGTGAAGGATAGATTTGAATGGAAAGAGAATTGAGGCAGAGAGACCAATTAGGCCATTGCAGCCATCTAGGCAAGAGATAATGAACGCCTAAATTAAGGAGGTAGCTGTGTAAGAAGCCAGAAAGAGTTAGATGTGAGAAATGTGGACATCAAAATGGCAGGATCTGATAAACTGATTTGATGTGAAGAGGAGCAAGGAATCAAGGGTTACATGAAGGTTATAAACCTGGGAGACCGGGGAATGTCCTCTGCAGAAAGTTCAGTAGGGGGCAAGATTTGGGGCAAAAGTTGAGCTATATTTTGGAATTTGAAATGTCTCTTAAGAAATCTAGTTTCACATGCGCTATAAGCAGTTGGAAAAGCTGGAATTCCTTTATTATTCTTTCCCTTTGTTTCACATTCTACAGGATCCAGAAATAATACTACCAAATACTATTTAGAGTTAAAAAGGCTGTCTTTGGTTCTGAATGTCCACATGGGCTCAAAAACTTAGAAATGCTTGTTGAATTGGATTGAAAGGTTTTGTGTTTATGAGGAAGAACCTTGAATATAATGGAATGTTGGATAATCTCCTGGTTGGAAGGTCAGCCTCATTAAATTAGTATTCATACCTAATTTCTCCGTAAACTGTTGGACTCACGAATAGACACATAATTTTCACAAAATCACTGAATATTAGAGCAGGACTAGACCTTAAAGATCATCTAATCCCTTTGTTTTAATGATGAGGAAAATGAAAACCTGACACATGAAACAACTTCCTTAAGTGTGCTGAAAGTGGCAGAACTAGGTTTTGGACATATTTATTCTACTCTTGAGTTCAGTGTTCTTTTCCACTACAATACATCTTTGCCTGTAACAAAACAGAAAAGCTAGGTTACGTTAATTGGAAATTGAACCTGGATCTACTGATAGGGTTCTTGCAGAGAAGGCTTTTCTGTCATTAAGCAACCAGTGTCCTACTTTTAAAAATTCTTCTGCTTAAGAAAGAGAGAAATATATATGTATACACACATACACTTAACATGTATAAAAATGGTTGTATTTTCCTTAATATTACATTAAGTGATAAAAGATGATATCTGTTGTTTCTACCTTGGGGGTGTTTTAAGGACAGAATGATGTAATAAATTCAAAAGCATGTTAAAAAAAAAGGTAGAAGTATAGATATATTTAAAGTGGCAGTGACAGCAGTATTGCTCCATTTAAATACAGTAATCTCTAGCTTATATGTATCTACTTCACTACTCATGGTAAAAAAAAAAAATCTCATTTATATAATATCTTAAGGTTTACAAAATGTTTTCCTTACAGCAATCCTGTGAGATACGTAGAAGATTAGCCTCTCCGTTTTGCAAAGAAGAAAAAAATGTTTAAAGAGGTTAAATGTCTTGCATAAGGTCAACTCATTTAGCTGCCAACATAACTTTTTAAGTGTTGGAAATGGGATTTGAACGTGGGTCTGTCTTTACTTTTAAGTCCAACACTGTTTCCAGTATACCATGCGTGCAGAGAGGTCCCTAATCCTGGCGCAGGCATATTTCCCCTTTTGATGCTGATTTTTGTCTCGCTGTTTGATTTGTAGCATAAAGAACGCAAACCCTATCAAACCCTACTAGTGTTGGGCAGTCAAAAGCTCACGGAGCTCAGAGATTCATTTTGCTGTGCCAGTGACCTTCAGATTGGAGGAGAGTTCAGCAGCACACCTGACCAGGCACCAGAGCACACCAGCAAGGTAAGGTGATTTTTCACAAAAATTAGGCAATTGATATAAGTAGTACATATACAGTTGTGGTTTATAATGTTAGACAGATGTTCCATCAAATGCACTATGTGGATATATAGAGAGAGTGATTTTTTTTCAAGTTAGCCTTCTTGAGTGTTTCATAGAAAATGCAAATGCTGTGGAATACAAACAAAGGCTCTTAAAAAATGAGCAAAATTTCAAAACCATCGGTAAAATGAAGGAAATGAGCTTTGTCTGTTGTTAACTTGCCTTTAGAAGAGGAGGAGGAATGAACTTGACCTTTTTTGCCCTAAGGATACTGCACCAGTTTATGAATCAGAAGACCAGCTCTAGTCCCAGGTCTGCCAGTTATTATCCATGTGATCTTTGGAAAGTCACTTAAACTTTCAATCTTCAGTTTCCTCACCAGCAAATTGAGATATTAACATATGTCCTGTGTGGTTACCCAACTTAATCACGTTTGGGTATCATAGTCGTAAATCTCGAGCTGGGAGGGATCTGAGACCCTCACGGAGCCCCTCATTTAACGGATGAGAAACCTGGAATGAAGAGGGTCAATAACCTGCTGAAGGTCACAAGGAGAGTGAGCTTCAGAGCTGAACTTTGAACCTAGGTCCCCTGCTGCCTCTTACAGAGTACCACTCTGTAACTTCCACCTCAGTAATGTGTATATTTAAGTACTTTGAAAAACATGAATCATCATTTTTGTTACCGTGAAAAACGTAAGTTGAAATTGTAAAGGAATGACTTCTTAGTCTTAGTCTTCTCTGACTTCTTGGTTTTTTTTTTACTCCTCATTTCCAATCAGTTATCAAGTTCTAATCTGTCTGCCTTGACAATCTCTTATCATATCCATATTTCTCTTTCTGTTCTCATTGCTGTCTTCCTAGTTCATTCCCCAGATGGATAGCCTCATAACTGTTTTCCTTCCAGTTTCTTCTCCAGTCTAGATTGGTCCCACTCATCTTTCAAACACAGCAATGATCTCACTCCCTTTCTTGTACTACATATACATGCTTTGACCAGACTTGGAAGTCATAGAATCTTAGAGCTAAAGAGAACCAACCGTAAGGATTATCTAGTCCAACCCGTTTTTTTACAGGTGGGGAAACTAAGGTCCAGAGAGCATTCTTATCTTTCAGTGCCCAGTTTAGGGGCCACCTTTATGAAGCTTGGATTGTTGATAATACTTTGTATGTCTTCTGTGTACTTGTTATTTGATGTTTTATAATTATTTATACCTGTGTTTTAACCACTGTAATAGATTATGAACTCTTTGAGGATAGTCTTAGATATCTTTGTATCTCTCCTAGCACATTGCATTTAATGTTTAGCCAGTAGTCAATGCTTGAAAGAAAGGGACTACCGAATTTCACAAAGTAGTATTCCTCTCTTCTGTCATTATTTCCTTCCCTACCAGTTAAATTAACTTTTAACTGCATTATCAATATCATGTTAGTGTCCTGTTTCATTCACATGATATACTGTAGGAAGTGTTTTTTAGCTAATCAGGTGAAGCTATTAGTATGTTACGGAGGGAACTCATTGCTCATTATAGATACAGTATAGCAATAAGTCTGGTATAACTTCATGATAAATATGCATTAAAGAGGCAATAAGAAGGAACAATTTGTTGTTAATCATTGAAAATGGCAAAATTCACTAGTGAGAAGATTATTCCTATTTTATATGTCTTCAATACATTATTATATTTTGAAATAGACAGAAGTGGTAATTAGGGAAATTTCTGTTAAATTTAAGAGTTAATTTATTTCTTCCAAGATTTAAACTCAGGGTTTTTTCTTAGAAGAATTTCAGTAGACGGCTATATCAAATAATGCATTATTAAATTTATTGAAATTATTAAAGAAGACATTTGGCCAATTTATGTAATTCGTGCCTTTATATCTAGTTCCTCATCCCGATGTGCAGTGACCTTGAGTTCACGGAGGCTGTACCAGAACAGCAGTAGACTTTGGGTAAAACAAGACCTACCAAGCTGGAAAGGCTTAGAGTGCAGTTTTGAAATCTGAGGAGCAGTCTAGCTAAGTTATGGGAGGGGATACCACTGGACAGTTAACCCCTAAATGAAAACTGTTTTAGCTACAGTAGCTCATGAAACTATTTTGCTAAGTCTTGGAGTAATTGAGACTTGTGTCTCCTGGAAGAGTGCCTACATCAATTAAATCACAAATCTTTTGAAGTATGTAAATAGTGAACTAGATATCTATAGACTAACCATCCTTTTTTGTTATTTTATCCAAAATTATTTGTTAAAACTCCTCAGTTTGATTCTTTGCTTAAATTACTATTAACTAGAAAGAAGACTGATAGGAAGAGAAGGGCTAGGAACAGAGGTGAGAGTAGTAGTACTTCACTGGATCCATGAATCCTCACTCCCTGCAGTAATACAGCTCATGATCCATTCATACCCTTCTCATCCATTTTTATTTTTATCCATGTCCTCTCTTAAGTCTTCCATTGAGGATATACCCAATGTGCTGGTGGTCTTCTGGACTTTCGGGAAAAAAAAGTCACTGGTAAAAGTTTTAGCATTTGAATTCTGTCTTTCATTCCTTACTCTCATTATGTGATTGACCTACTTTTCCAACTATAGATCTTCTGGATGATATCTTTTATGCTCTCACTTGTGGACAGATCATCATTGGTTAATATGCTGTATCCTAATGATGTTTCTCTATTTCACTTTAAGTCACCTGAGATTTGGGGTTTTTTGGGGATTGTGGTTTTCCATAACTCATAGCCATATGACATCACTAGGGGAATACTGATGTTAAAAAGATGGATTTTTATGTTGTGGATTATCTGGGATTGTTGAAAGTGCTGTGTAGTTTGCCATATGTAATCTAGTTAGTTCTCTTCCTATACTATTTTGGGCCCAGCTAAACATCCATCTGTATTGTCTGTCTAAGAGGAAGCTATATACTGATAGATTAATTTCGTGGACTTCTAATTTAGGAGTATGTCATACTAACCTGAATAATTAGAGATATAGTAATTCCTCATGGGTAGGCTGTACCAAAAGGAAATACTGCCTGAATTAATATACTTAATCGGTTCCATACCAGTCAGCATACAGAGGAGCACTAGCACTTGCAGCTACAGGGGAGTAGAGGCACTAGCTAGAGTTTCAGGGTAGAGAAGAGTATTTGTGGTCCTTCACAAGGGAGCAGAGACCTTGGTTGCAGTTCCAGAGCTAACGAGCACTAGTACTTGTAGCTGCAGAGGAATAAGGGTCATTGTCAAAGTTCCAAGGCAGAGAGGAGCACTAGAGCTTGTAGCTACAGAGGAGCAAGGTCCCTTCCTGAGTAAAAGCCAGAGCACAGCCCAGGAGAGTAGTAACCACACCTCTCCTTGGATCATACTGTCTTGGATGCACCAAAAACTTACAGATTCCCGGAACTAGTTCTGAAAACAGCAGCACAAAAAACCTGAAGCTTAGGACAGTGCCCCTATCCACCTTGGGAACAGAGTCCAGCTTTAAAATAGAGTTCAAAGTCAAGAAATAGGCTGGAAAAGTGAGCAACAACAACAGAAAAAGAACCTGATTGTACAAATATACTATGGTGACAGGAAAAATCAAGACACAAACTCAGAAAAAATACTGATGTCAGAACATCTGCAAGCAAAGCCTCAAAGGGAGAAAAAATTTGAATGTAAAACCCTAAAAGAATTCCTGGAAGAGCTCAAAAAAGATTTAAAAAATCAAATAAGAGATGTAGAGGAAAAACTGGGGGGGAGGGGGAGTGAACGTGATGAAAAAAAATTATGAAAAGAGTCAGTAGCTTGGTAAAAGCCACCAAAAAGTACTAAAGGAAATAACACTTTAAAAAACTGAATTGGCCAAATAGTAAAAGAGGTACAAAAGCTCACTGAAGAAAAGAATTCTAAAAAACTGAATTGGCTAAATGGAAAAAGGTATAAAATTACACTAAAAAGGATAATTCCTTAAAAATTAGAATTGGGTAAGTAGAAGCTAATGACTCCATGAGACTTAAGAAACAATAAAACAAAGTCAAAAGAATGAGAAAATAGAAGAAAATTAAATATCTCATCAGAAAAACAAGGGACCTAGAAAATAGTTCCAGGAGAGACCATTTAAGAATTATTGGAATGCCTGAAAGCCATGGTCAAAGAAAGACTTAGACATCATATGTCAAGAAATTTTCAAGGAAAACTGCCCCAATATCTTAGATCCAGAATGTAAAATAGAAATGGGAAGAATCCACTGATCACCTCCTGAAAGAGATCCCAAAATGAAAACTTCCAGGAATATTGTAACCAAATGCCAGAGTTGCCAGGTCAAAGAGAAAATTTTGCAAGCATCCAGAAAGAAGTAATTCAGATATCATGCAACCACAGTCAGTATTGCACAAGATTTAGCAGCTTCCATGTTTAAAGGAAGAGAGCTTGAAATGTGATATTCTGGAAGGCAAAGGAGGCTAGGATTACAATAAAAAAAATTACCTACCCAGTAAAACTGAGAATGTTCAATAAATAGAAAACTTTCAAACATTCCTGGCGAAAGCATCAGAGCTGAATAGAAAATTTGACATTTAAACACAAGACTTAAGCATAAAAAAGAAAACATGAAATCATAAGGGACTTGATGTGGTTAATCTGTTTACATTCCTACGTGGGAAAATAATACTTTTAATTCCTAAGAACTTTATCATTGGGACAATTAGAAGTAGTGTACATAGACAGGGTATAGGTGTGAGTTGACTGTGATGGGGTGATCTCCAAAAAAAAAAAAAAAAAGGGATGAGAAAGAGGGATACACTGAGAGAAGGGAGAGGAAAAATAGGGAAAATTATCTTACATGAAAAAAAGGCACACAAACAAGACTCAAGTGAAACATGGAAGAGATAAACAGGAAAGAGAAATCATTAGAGACTTACTAAGGTTGAACTGTCTACATTCCTGCAGGGAAAGGTGGTATTTGTAACTCATGAGTCCTTTGTCAG